AGCCATGTCTGGTGGCGGTCCCCTTCGAGCAGGCTGCCAAAGCGATGATCGTGTGACTGCTGCACACCAGCTGCGCGGAGTTGGAGCTGTGAGTGATCTGCAATGGGGCGCTCGTAAACGACGCCGGCATCAATTCTGTCGGTGTCCTGATTCTGAGCGAAGGGCAATCCATCGGGTAGTTGCTGCCCATTTGTTGTGCCGCCGCGTCGCTCTTCTCTCATGACACCCACAGTTGCGAATAAGCTTTCGCCGTTGTCACCGTCCCAGAACAATCGTGGACGCAATGACGCACGCTGATACCCTGGCATGTCGATCCATCCATCATCATCCAGATCCTGGTTTGACTGGCGGTTGTAGGTCGACAGGAGCGTGCCGCGCCAGCTACCGGTTATCGGTGTGGAGCCATAGAGTGAGATGTCTTGGGCATCACGTGTGGTGGCATTAAGTATCACCTCGCCACTCGCTTCCTCCAGCGGACGTTTAGAGATCAGATTGATCACACCACCTAATGCCTGGCCCCCATACAGGGCCGACGCTGAGCCTTTGATCACTTCAACCTGACCGAGGTCACTGGGTGGTGTCTGTAACAAACCTAGCGACGCAGCCTGGCCGCCAAACAGTGGCAGGCCATCAGCCAGAAGCTGGGTATATCGGCCACGTAGACCCTGCACCCGGATGTTGGCTGAACCGAGTGCCGGGGACGTGACCTGCACACGTAAACCGCCTGTCTCCGCCAGCAACATGGATATGTTGCCTGGGCGCATCAGGATTTTTTCCTCGATTTCCTCCTGATTCAGAACTTCTACGCGGGTGGGTTCGTCCTGAAGCCGCCGCCGCGAGCGGGTCGCCTGGACCACAATTTCTTCTATTTCATGATCGTCGTGATGATCGCCGTGGGCTTCACCTTCTGCCGTAGCATCAGAAGCAACAATCAGGGCAACGGCACAAATAGAAACAGTAAGAGGTATAGCTAAGCGCATGGTTTAATCGTCTCTTGGTTCACAATAGGTGGTTGCAAAACCGCAGTTTGGCATGTTCGAATTGATCGCGGAAAACGATCGATGGTGTTTAGCCGGCACAAGTTATGAAGAAAATACGAGGAACACAATGAGCAATACAGGTATCGCCCAGAAAATTTCGGTTTCTATTCTCCTGCTGTGTGCTGCGGCAGTCGCCGTTGCCAGCCCTTCGAATAAATGGCGCCTTGAGTTCAGCGGTGGTGCCCACTCAGCCGGTGAAATTGTAATTGAATTGACGCCCAAGGGTTTAGATCCGCTAACTGTGCACATTTCTGTTGAAGACGATACCTCGGAGAATGCAGTGGCCAAACGCGTTACGAAAGTATTGCGTGAAAAATTACCCTCGGAGGCTTTTCATGTGGAAAGAGATGATGGGGAAGATGTGTTGATCAAGAAGCGCCATGGCGCTGCGAATTTTGATGTGCAGATTGTCTTCAACAGCGTTAAACATGTCCGGATCCACGCGGAACATGAATAGTCCGGGCCTTTGTCTTGGTTAGAGTGGTTTAGCGTGCTGATGCATCGAAGTGCGCTGTTCGGGCTGCTGTGCGCACTGCTGGGCGGCTCAACGCTGTTTGGCTGCTCAACTCTGAAGCCGCTGGAAATTACTCCTGAGTACGCAACCCCTCCGGCGAATACGCCTCTTTGGCGTGCCGTAAATGGTTCGGCTGCACAATCCTGGCATGTGTTGCTGAATGATGGGCCAACAGCCCTGGACTGGCGCTTACGGGCCATTGATGGCGCCGCCGAAAGCCTTGATGTACAAACCTTTCTGTGGCACTTCGACACCGCTGGTGCCCTGATACTGGATCATGTGTTGCGAGCTGCGGACCGTGGTGTCCGCGTGCGCATTCTTGTTGATGACACCTTTCTTGTACATGAGGATGCACTGTTGCTGGCCGTTGCTGAACATCCGAATATTGAGTACCGCGTGTTTAATCCTTTTAAACGCCGCGCTGGCAACTTTGTCACCCGGCAGCTGCTTAATCTGGCTGAATTCAGGCGCCTTGATCATCGCATGCACAACAAAGCCATGGTGGTGGATAATCAGGTGGCGATTGTCGGTGGACGTAATCTGGCTGACGAATATTTTGGCCTAGACGATACTGCCAATTTCCGCGACCTTGAATTGCTGTTAGGTGGACCCGTTGTGCAGGACATCAGCATGGCCTTTGATACCTATTGGAATGACCGTTGGTCCGTGCCCATCGAATCCTTATCCGACCGGTCGGCATCGGTTGAGCAACTTACCGAAGCTCGGCGGGTGGCCGATACGTCGTTGCATCTGCATGAGGAAGCTTCAGCTGAGCTGCAGCTAGAACAATGGCTGGCATGGACTCGAAACGCCGATACCGGCGCCGCTGTGCTCTACGTCGACGAACCGCCTGAAGGTAATCCGCGAAACCGGGAGGAGGCGCCCATTCAGGTTGCCAACGAACTCACCCGGTTATTCGACGCTGCCAGCCAGGAGATTGTGATTGTCTCTGCTTATCTGATTCCCACACCCGATCTTGAAGGGGCCGTTGAGCGTGCAATCGCTCGAGGCGTGCGCGTACGTATACTGACTAACTCTTTGAGGTCTAACAATCATCTGACCGCACACAGTGCCTATCGCCGACATATTGCAACGCTGCTTGATCATGGCGCAGAGGTGCATGAAGTGCATATCAATGCAGAGGACCGTGCCAGGTACATGTTGACGCCGGTTGGTCGAAAGACACTGGCGCTGCATGCCAAGACGTTGATTATTGATGACGACCAGGTGTTTGTCGGCAGTGCCAACCTCGATCCACGCTCGTTGCGTATCAATACTGAGATGGGTGTGCTCATCAACAGTCAGGCGTTCAATCAATCTGTGCGTGAAGCGGTTGAGGGTGATTTTTCAGAGAACAACGCATGGCGACTGGCGGTGCAGGAAGATGGCCGGATCTTCTGGGTTTCAGCTGATGAAACCCTTGAACGACAGCCAGCGGGATCGTTTATGCAACGCATTGAAGACTGGTTCTTCTCACACTTGCCGATTGAGGGTGAACTTTAACCTCACGCGGTTTCCACATTGATAATATGCAGGTCGCTTTGGGGAAACGGTATCGATATGCCGGCTTTATCAAATGCCAGTTTGATTTCTTTGGTTAAACCCCAGTAGGTCTCCCAGTAGTCAGTGGTGCGCACCCAGGGTCTAACAATCAAATTAACGGATGAATCGCCAAGTTCGTGCACCCGTACAATGGGTTTCGGTTCGTCGAGGATGGCATCGAATTTTGTCAGGGTTTCTTTGATGACAGCCTCCGCCTGGTTGATGTCATCGCTGTAAGCGATCCCGAAGACGAGATCTACGCGGCGTGTCCTCTGATCAGTGTAATTGGTAATCACCGATTGCCAGATCATGTTGTTTGGCATGACAAGCTTCCGGTTATCAACGGTTAGAAACGTTGTGTTAACCAGACTCATGTTGTAGACGGTGCCTTGAACACCTGCGACATCTACAAAATCGCCGACGTCGAAGGGTCTATAGATAAGGATCATCATGCCTGACGCAAAATTGGACAATGAATCCTGTAGTGCAAAACCGATTATGAAACCCGCAATACCAAGACCAGCGAGTAGAGGGCCGAGGGAGATGCCAAGCTGTGAAAGTGCAATCAAAGCACCCAGCAGAATCACCAGGTTTTTGACCGCGTTAATAATCATCTCACGCAGCAATTGTGACAGATTGACTCGTTCAGGACTCAAGCCTCTGTGCACAAGTTTCTCGGCCAGTTTACCCAGTTGCATGAAGGCCAGCAGGACAAGCAGTGCAAGCACCATTCTGAACACGACCGTTGGCCCTTCGCCTTTCACGTGCTCTACAATGGCGTTGCTCCATTCGGATAGCAGACCGGATACAAAGCCAACATCCAACACATCTGTTGTAATTTCGCCTGTCGCAGCCAATACCTGCTGGCGATAGTGTTGGGTATCGAGCTCCATGGCGTTCATCAATGTGATGTTTTCCTGAAGAATGGAGGCGGCCAGATCAACGCGTGCCTGCACAGCAAGCAGACGCTCATTCAATTCACTGTTGGCGGGCAGAATGCTGTTTGCATGGCGCATTTGCGCGTATTCTTCGGTCGCAAGCTCGAGGAACACTGAGCGATTGGCCGCGTTATCTGTCAGTTGTTGATTCAGCGTGGTGAGAACATCGTCAACTTCGATATCAAACTGCGTTGCGATGTCGATGTAGTCAACGATGACCTTGTATATTTTATCCAGGTTTTCAACATCTTGGGACAACTCCTGATCCTGAACGACAAATTCTGCCGGGGGTGTTTCGTTGGTCGGAAAAACAAGCTGTCCTCTAATCCGTTGTACCGCATCAAATGCACGCTGAGGGAGTGGTTCGAGTAAGACCATCAGGCTTTCGACTTCTTGCGTAACGTCTACCCCCTGGTCTCGCTCGGCTGCTACTTCGCGGGCGAGATCCAGGATGGCTTCAAACCTTCGATTCTGGGTCTGGTCACGGCGTGCAATCAAAACAGTTTCTGTCACACCCTCGCTGTCTTTGATGCGTGCAGCGAGTCGCTGAATCTGAAGTTGCTCAAAAGCAATGTCTTCGTTTAGCTGGTCAAAAAGGGTGCGCCGCTCTTCGCTGAGTTCTGTTGGGTTGGATTGCGTCTGATCGGATTCCTGGGACCACGCAGCCGCAGCCGCCATGAGTGCTGTCAGCAGCAACACGAAACGAAAAGTTGTGTGCAATGAAGTATCTCCGCTCAATTGGATGGGTATACGCAGGGATAAACGGGCGTTTGGTGCGCGGTATTTATTCTGGTTCCGGGTGGTCAAGTTCAGGATCGTGGGGCATTTTACCTAATAATTTTGCCATTAGCCTAATCGCCAGGCGGTCGACAAAAGTTGGGTTGAGCTTACAGCTTCTATTGATCAGATTGGTCATTAAACGTTGTTGTGTATCACCGATCCATTCCTGTAATGATGTCATCGCGTTCAACCGTTCAATACCTGTTCAGACATGCCGGCCGGAGGCTCCGCCAGTTTTACGATCCTGCCGGGAAAACCTTTGAAGTGGGGTATACCTTGTTCATGGTCTAAAAATTCCGGATCGTCCGGGCACAAGACAGCGTCGCTGCTGATAAACGCGCCGGACAGTTTTGCGGTGCCGCGCATTTCAGGATACCACCAGCCATGTGGCACTCGGATGTGACCTTCTTTCATTGATGTTTTGATCAACACCTTGGCTGTGACTTCCCCGGTTGGCGTCTGCAACTTAACCCAATCGTGGTCAATAATGTTCTGGCGTGCGGCATCGCTAGGATGCATAAACAGTTTTGGTGAAGGCATTCGATCTCGTAAAACTTTTACCTGGCGTTGTCCGGTCTGGAAGAATGCGTCTTCGCGAACACCAGTGAACACATAGTAGGGGTACGCCTCACTTACGGCAGGTCCTTCCCTGTAATAGGGCAGGGGATCGAATCCCAATTTCTCCAGCAGACTGGATTTCAGCTCAACTTTACCCGAAGGCGTGGCGAAACCTGTTTTTCGATACTTTCGATATTCAGGTGGTTCAATGAACATATAGTGCTCGTCGGAAAATTCCGCAAAGGTTTTACCGGAAGGAGAGAGGCGATAGTCGAGCATTTCTTCTATGGTCGACCAGGGGAACAGGTCTGCGTAACCCATACGGTGAGCAAGATCATGCCAGAACTCAAAGGTGCTGGAACATTCGGGCGGCGGCTCGACAGCTTTTTGCGACAGGGTCAGACCGAGTTTCCAGTTCCAGTAGTCAGACAGATGGTTACGCTCGCTGAATACATCGCCAGGCAGTACGTAGTCTGCTAACAAGGCGGTGGGTGTCATGAAGATGTCGTGCGCAACAATCAGTTCCTGATTCATCATGCCTTTAAGGATCTGATGCTGATTGGGATAGCTCATGAGCGCATTGTTACCGAGCACAAAAAAGGCCTTCACCGGGTAGGGCTTTTCAGTTGCCATAGCCCGAAAAGTAGCGCTTGGGTTGGCCATGTAACACCCCATAACGATATCGGCGTAGCCGTAGCCGTAAACACGTTCTGTATGCTCTGTAAGCATCTCCTGGGCGCGATAGGTATATACAGGATGCAGGTCTGCACCCAGTTGTTTGCCTTTTTGCTCTGCGCTCAACATCTCATGATTGCCCAGTTTGGATTCCGGGATATAGTTTGGATCAAAGCCGCCAAATATCTCCCCGCCGGGGATGTCTATATTGCCGGTTAGAGCACGCAGAATGCTTTGTAGCCGAATGGCGGATGTTGATGAAATCTGCATGTCCGTGATCGGCGTCCAGGGAATACAGGCGCTTGAGGCGCTGGCATAGAGTCTCGCCGCTTCAGCAATCTGCTGAGCCTCCACGCCGGTAATCTCGGCGACCCGTTCAAGGGGGTATTCGTTGACGCGATTACACAAATCCTCAAATCCAGTGGTGTGCTCAGCCACAAATGTTTTGTCGTATAGCTCTTCGTTGATGATGACGTTGAGCCACCCGAGACACATCGCCGCGTCTGTGCCTGAACGCAGGCGCAAGTGCATGTCTGCAACCTCAGCCTGGTCGGAGATTCGAGGGTCGAGGACAATAACCTTGGCACCTTTTTCCCGTGCGGCGTTAATCATGTTGTAGATCGGTGTCCAACTGTGTTTTCGCGGATTGTGACCGAACAGCACGATGCACTTGGAGTTGGCGATATCAGCAAACGGAAACCACCCGTAGGTAAGCTTGTTAACCGCGGCTGTGTTGCCCGCGCAAAGGGATACGCCGCTGATATAGTTGGGCGAGCCTAAGGCGTTCATGAAGCGCCGGTCCATGCTGTGTGTGGTCTGGGTGTTCCAGCCTGAGGTGGATACGGCAAGCGATTCAGGCCCGTACTGATGCACAACTTTTTGCAGACGCTCAGCAATTTCATCCATCGCCTGTGCGTAGGAAATTTCTTCCCACTTGTCTTCACCGCGCGCGCCGACACGTTTCAGCGGCTTGGTCAGTCGATCAGCGTGATTGTGCACATGTGGAGCCGCAGTACCTTTGTAACAGACATTGCGTGCCAAGGCCGGATTGTTGTGGGCAATCATGCGCTTCAGTTTGCCGTCCTGGGTTTCGGCACGAAGCTGGCAGCCGATGTCACATATTGTGCAGACTGAGTAGGTGTGTTGCGGGCTCGATGATTCTGCCATGCCTGACTCCTGTGAAAACCTTTGTTTGCTGGGTTACAGATTGTGTTGCTGATCGTATTTTCGGGCCAGTTTCTGCAGCCACTGTAGAACTGTGACTTCGTGGGCCATGGGTTTGCCGCCACTTATGGCGCGACCTAAACCAATGCCAATCAGTGCCTCGGTAATGGTGCGGTAGATGGCTTCAAACTCTTTTAAGCGTTTGTGTTCACGTTTGCGCGCCAACACCATCTCTGGGGAGAATAATTCTGAGCCTTGAGTGATGGCTTCAGCCAGGCGCGTGCCAAACGCTTCATCGTTTCTCGACGCCAGCCACAATTCAATCACCGCTTTGAATTCGCGCTGGGTGACCCGCAGATGGCCCTCTAACGTAATCTGCTCCAGAAGACCGATATTGCCCTCAATTTTCAGGTCCAGTAGCTGATGGTAGAGTTGATCGAGTGTATCAACCAACAGATCGGCAAAGTCTGAGTAATGATGGTTTAGCGCGCCTCTGGTCATTTCTGCTCGGCGACAGACCTCCACACCGGTGGTTTTTGTATAACCCAGTTCTACAAGAGAATCGATGGTGCTTGCGATCAGGCGCGTGCGGGTGGCAGCACTTCTCGCATTGTTAAGGTTGTCAGCCTGTGGTCGTTGAGATGTCATGTTCAAAACATACAGACATGTATGCATGTTTTCCAGACAAAGTGTTGAGCTTTTTACTTCAGTGGTGGATTGTCGCCTTTTTAACCGCCTTCGATGCGTGGCATGAGAAAGACTTCTGCGTCGGGTGGAATCTTCTGGGTCCAGTCATCTCGAAAGACCACGCCGTCGATGGCGACGGCGATGCCTTTATCCAGATGTGCAGACATATCTGGATATTTTTCGATCAGTTTGCTCATGAGCTCAGCAATGGTGGCTGCCTCGATCTCGATCGAGGCAACGCCACCTACGCCTGAACGCAATGCGCCGTTCAGGCTAACCTGCACTAACCTGATTCTCCATCGCGGCCGCTTGATCAAGCGCCTCCAGTACACGTACCGGGGACATGGGCACATGATTCATGCGCACCCCAGTGGCACGCGCAATGGCGTTACCGATAGCGCCCAACGGCGGGACGATAGAGGTTTCCCCTACACCGCGGATGCCATAGGGATGGGTCGGGTTTGGAATCTCCAGGATCTGCGTATCGATAAACGGCAGGTCGGAACAGACCGGTATACGATAGTCGAGGAAGCCTGGATTCTGCAGGCGACCGTCCTTGCCGTAAACGTACTCTTCATTCAGTGCCCAACCAATACCTTGTGCGGCAGCACCCTGGAACTGGCCTTCGACATAATCCGGGTTGATGGCTTTACCTGCATCCTGCACAACGGTGTAGCGCAGGATCTTGCTTAAGCCGGTTTCTGGATCAACTTCCACGTCGCAGATGTGTGCAGCAAATCCCATGCCGGCACCGTCCGCTACAATCTCATTGTGACCCGCGATAGGACCACCGGTATTGGGTGATTTTCTGGCGATTTCTTTCAGGGATAAAGACGGCAGATTACTGTGTCCTTTACCTGTTGCTCGCGCTTCGCCTTTTTCCCAGACAATATCGTCTACGGGTACATCCAACATCTTGGCCGCACGACCTTTTAATACCTCAATAGCATCACGTGCAGCAAAGATCGCTGCCATGCCCGACGAGAATGTACCGCGGCTGCCTTCTGTGGTGTCGTTGTGTCCCAGAGACGTTGTGTCGGCAACTTGTACCTTGACGTCTTCGTAACCAATACCCAGCTCTTCTGCCGCAATCATGGCTAGCGAGGAGCGTGCACCGCCCACATCGACCGTACCCACTGCCAGGTTGACCGTGCCATCTGTGCCGATGTTCAGATCAACACAGGTTTGCCCGCCAATGTTGAACCAGAAACCACAAGCGACGCCGCGGCCCTGATTCTTCTTAAGCCTGGTTTTCATGTGCGGATGTTTCTTAACGGCCTGCAACGCAGCCTCGATACCAATCGGACCATATATGGGGCCATAAGGCGCTTGTGTACCTTCCCTGGCGACGTTCTTGAGGCGGAAATCCACTGCATCCATGCCAATGGCGTCTGCCACAAGATCCATTGTGCTTTCTACCGCGTACGCAGCCATGGGGGCTGAAGGCGCGCGGTAAGCCGCAACCTTAGGTCGGTTAACAATGACATCCCAGCCCACGGAGCGCTGGTTTTCGATGTTGTAACAGGCGAACCCGGTCATACAGGCAAGCATTGCCCAAGGTCCCGGGAAGGCGCCGCCCTGATAACGTAGCTCAAGGGTTGCTGCGGTAATGACACCTTTGCGGGTGGCACCAATTTTGACATCAACAGACGTTGAGGCGGTTGGACCGGTGGCGCGAAACACCTCGTCCCGGGTCATCACCAGCTTAACCGGTCGATTGGCTTTGCGAGAAAGCGCCAGTGCCAGAGGTTCTGTCCAGACGTGGGTTTTACCGCCAAATCCGCCGCCAATCTCTGATGAAGTCACTTTGAGTTTCGCGATATCCAGGCCCAACAAAGCAGCGCATACAGTACGGTAGGCAAAAGGTCCCTGGGTGGTTACCCAAAGCTCAGCTGTACCGTCTGGATTTACTGAAGCCAGGCACGCATGGGGTTCGATGTAACCCTGGTGCGTCTGCTCGGTTTTGTACGACTTTTCAATGACCACGTCAGCTGCTGCAAAACCTGCGTCCACATCACCGTGACCCATTTGGGTGCGGTTAGCGATATTCGACGGTTTGGTAGGTTTTTCTTCCATGCCGCCCGTAAAACACCAGTCGTGAATCACCGGCGCGCTTGGCTTCATGGCCTCGTCTACGTCGGTGACGTGAGGCAGCTTCTGATAACTCACTTTGATGAGTTTTAATGCTTTACGTGCCGTTTGCTGATCCACTGCTGCAACGGCTGCCACGGCGTGGCCGTCGTACAGCGCGCGTCCGCGCGCCATGCAGTTCTCCAGGATATGCGCATTGCCGGCATTGCCTCCGGTCAGATCAGGCAGATCGTCACAGGTGATGACGGCTTTAACGCCGGGCAGCTTTTCTGCTTTGGATATATCTATTTTTTTGATTTTGGCATGGGCATGCGGCGAGCGCAGTACTAACCCAACCAATTGGCCTGGAGCACTGGCATCTGCGCCGTAACGTGCCTTGCCGGTAACTTTGTCAATGCCATCCGGGCGCAAGAAACGGTTACCAACAACTTCGAACTTCTGTCCTGTATAGCTATTATCGTGAGCCATAATTTATTCCTTTTTCCGCGAGGTATTAGCGTTTCTTAGATTTGCGCAGGTCTTTTGCGGTTTCCTGCACGGCCCGGACAATTTTGTCGTAGCCGGTGCACCGACAAAGATTGCCAGCCAGCGCGTAACGGATTTCTGTTTCCGTTGGTTTCGGGTTGTTGTCCAGCAACGCTTTGGCCGCTACCAAAAAGCCTGGTGTGCAAATGCCACACTGCAATGCGGCGTGTTCAATGAATTTTTCCTGCAATGGATGCAGCTTGCCATTTTCAGTGAGTCCTTCGACGGTGCCGATCTCGCGACCGTTGGCTTCCACGCCCAGGACCAGGCAGGAACAGACCAGCTGACCGTCCAGAGTCACACTGCACGCACCGCAATCGCCGGTACCACAACCTTCTTTAACGCCGGTCAGGCCAACACGGTCGCGCAATGAATCCATCAATACTTCATCGGTAGGGCAGGCAAATTCCACCACGTCACCGTTTACTTTGGTCGATACTAAAACTGCGTCGCTCATGCGGCACCTCCTGCTCGTTTGTAGGCTATTTTGGCGGCGCGTTTGGCCAGGACTCCGGCAACGCGTGTGCGATAGGCGGCAGTACCGCGCTTGTCGTCAATGGGGTTACACGCTTTGCTGCAGGCAGCGGCGAGTTTGTCCAGCGCTGCGTCGTCCAGTTTGGAACCCACCAAAGCTCTGGCAGCAGCGGGGACCAATATGGCGGTAGGTGCAACTGCACCCAGGCAGACCCGCGCTTTTTTAACAACGCCGCGTTCCAGCGTCAGGCTGATGCCGACACCCACTACGGCGATGTCCATTTCTGTACGTGGCGTAAAACGCAGGTAGGCATCGCCGGTGCGTTTGGCGGGTTTGGGCAGCGTGATGGCTTCTATCACTTCTCCTTTCTTAAGGGATGTTTTGCCCGGACCGACAACAATTTTTTCAACTGGTACCGTGCGGCGTTTACCTTTGCCGACCACAACAGCTTTAGCGCCGGCAGCAATCATGGCGGGTACGCTGTCCGCAGCAGGAGATGCGTTACACAAGTTGCCCACCATGGTGCAGCGACCCTGGATCTGGTCTGAACCAATCAGATTGGTTGCTTCAACCACACCTGGCCATGCTTTGTTGATGGCTTTATTTGCACCCAGTTGTGCGCCCGATACGCCGGCGCCGATGCGGAAGCCACTTTGCGTGGTTTTTATTGTATTCATATCTGGAATGCGTTTGATGTCGACTACTAACGCCGGCTCTGAAAGCCCAGTTTTCATCCGCACCAACAAGTCGGTGCCGCCAGCTAACACAAAGGCAGGGCCTTTTTCTTTTGCCAGCAGCGCGACAGCTTCTTTTGTCGTCGCCGGTGATTCGTATCTCATGTGATCGTCCTGTTTATGTTGTCAATTCAAGGAGAATGTAACGCACAGCATTTTGGCGTATAGATATGACCTTCCGTTCGATGCTTTCCCCTCGACAGTGAAGATACCAAGAGCGGCGGAGCCCAACAACGGTTTAGGCACCACTTAATTGCGGATTGCTGACCATTTCCAGGGTTTAAGCGGGTGCAGACCGAAAAGAGGGCGTTATGTCATTATCCGGGGCAGTTTGGTGCCGGTATTTTCGTCGAAGCACTGCAGTCGTATTTCTTTGGTAATTCTGATGGAGAAGGTCATGACAGATACGCAGACAAAATCCCAGTGGCTTGCTGCACGCCTGGAACTGCTGGAAATGGAGAAGGCGTATGCCCGGCTGGGTGACGAGTTATCGGCGCAACGTCGCGCAATGCCTAAATTAAAGGTGGCGCAGAACTATGTCTTTTATGCGCCCAACGGCGAGGTTTCGTTGTCAGAGCTGTTTGCGCAGCGCAGCCAGCTTATCGTGCAGCATTTCAAGTTTGGTGCCGACTGGGAGGAGGGCTGTCCTTCCTGTTCTTTCTGGGCGGATGGGTATAATCCGATGATTGTGCACCTGAATCAGCGTGATGTGAGCTTTGCTGTGGTTTCGACCGCGCCTGTTGCGCAACTTGAAGCTTATAAAAAACGTATGGGGTGGGATTTCCCCTGGTTTTCCTCAGCAAACAGCAGTTTCAATGCTGATTTTGAAGTGAGTCCAACCGAAGAGCAGCTGGCTGCAGATCAAATGCGGTACAACTATCAGGGCAGTCCCATCCGCGGTAATGAATCCCACGGTGTTAGTGTTTTCGAGCGCGACTCCGACGGTGTGATTTATCATACCTATTCAACCTATGCGCGCGGTCTTGATCGTATGAATGCAGCGTATGGTTATCTTGATCTGTGTCCTAAAGGGCGACAGGAAGAAGATCTACCCTATGGGTTAGCCTGGGTGAAAAGGCATGATGAGTACTGAATAAATGGACCGACTTGACCTGCTGGTACGTCACAGGGGTTGTGCGTAATTGACTCAGCAAAAATTGGCAGAGCTCGTGGTTATGTTTGCCACGGCCATATTTTTGTACCTCGACAAGTTGCTCTGCTTCGTGGAAAAATCATTTTCCTTGCCAACATGGTCTCTTGAGTTGGCGGTTTTAATACTGTTTGGGAAGATCCTTTTTCGTGTTTAGTTTTTTTGACACTATTGGTTGGCACCCCTCAATAGGTGATCCTAGTTTAGTCGGTTGGTTCACTGTGTTTGCGTACTTTTATACCGCTTTTAAATGTTGGACGGTTGTGCAAAACGCCGGTCCTCGGTTTGGACGCACAACCTATTACCGCGAACGCTCGCTTTGGGTGTGTGCTTGTGTTCTTTTGCTGGTTTTAGGCATAAACAAGCAACTGGATCTGCAGTCTTTTTTTACAGCTGCAGCTAGATATATCTCGCTTGAGCAGGGCTGGTATGGTCAGCGTAGAGCGTTGCAGGTGTATTTCATCTGGGCAATTGCCATAGCGGGTATTTCGGTAGCGATGGCGTTGGCAGTATTTTTCCGCTCAGTCATTGCCCGCCATTGGTTGGTGGTTCTTGGGCTTTGCTGGTTGTTCGCATTTGTTTTTATACGTGCATCATCCTTTCACAACATGGACTGGCTAATCGGCCAGGCTTGGCTCGGTATCTATGCCAATTGGGTATTGGAGTTAGGCGGTATCTTTATGGTCTGGTGGAATGCCAGAACGTTGCTGGGTTCGGGAAGACGCCGACACGGGACTGCCTGAGATGGATTAGTTGGCGGGTAAGAACCCCAATGGCGATCTGCGAGTATTTATTCCGAATTCAACCCTTGCCCCTAAAAATCTAAGACTTCATTTAAATAAAGCCCTGGGAGAGATCAATGGATAAAGACGTCGCTTTACACTTGGAAACACTGGAAGGCCATGTGGCCAGACTGGAAGGTATCATTCATGTCATGCTGCTGGAGCTGGAGGCGGGCACTATCCAGACTTCAGCAGCTGAGATACGCGCTGCGCTGCCGAAACTGGATGATGACTAGCAAAAACTTCGACGTAGGGGTGACGATGTGCTGAGGATGACTTTGATGGCACTCATTGTTATGCAGAGTGTTGTCATGGAGATAAATATCCATCGGAGCAAGTCATTCGGGGGGAGGATCTATGGACACAAGAATTGATCACTTTATGTATGCCACGGCCTCACTGGATGAGGGTATGGCATGGGCGCAGGATGTGTTTGGTATACAACCGGCCTATGCAGGCGAACACCTGGGGTTAGGGACACGAAACGCGCTATTGTCCCTGGGTTCTGCGTATCTGGAAATCATCGCGCCGGATCCTGCGCAGTCCCTTGAAGGTACCCTTGGGGAACAATTTGCCGGCCTGTCGAGTGGTGGGCTTGTGACCTGGGCTGCCGAAGGTGATCTAGCCAAGGTGCAGGCTGCCTTGTTGTCCTGCGGTATCCGATCGGCGGGCCCTAAACAAACTCGGCGCAAGACACCAGACGGAGAACTGTTGGAGTGGGCGTTGCTTTTCCCCATCGGTGCAACCCAGGGTTCGCGTATGCCCTTTTTTATTGACTGGCAGCGCTGTGTTAATCCTCGAGAAATAAGTCCGATGGCTGGGACGTTTCAATCATTGTCTATCACAACTCCCCACGCAGACGATCTGCGGCAGGTAATGGCAGCGATTGGCCTGGAGGTGCCGATTTCGGAAGGTGAGCCGGGGCTTGAAGTGTTGATTGCCGCGCGTGGTGGTGTGGTGCAACTTACAAGTACAGAGGAAACCAGAAGCGTGTCGCTCATCTAGCGGTGCTTGCGTCGATTGTGAAGACGATTGTTATCGGTGTATTGTTTCAACTGTCTTATTTCATCGAATACTTAATCGGAGCCCACTATGGCTGAATATATCCCCCCGACACTGGACTGGGTCCGCAAGCAGGTTGAGCTTTACGAAAGCAGTGGCGGCACCGAAGGCACGACACTTCTAGATACCGGAATGCCGTGCATCATAGTGACGCATAAAGGCAACAAAACCGGTGGCATTCGGAAGATACCGTTGATGCGTGTTGAGGTTGATGGCAACTATGTCCTGATAGGGTCGATGGGCGGTCAACCGAAGAACCCTTCCTGGGTTTATAATTTGCGCGCGCACCCTGATGTGGAAATACGCGATAAAACTGTAGTCACCCCCATGCGGGTGCGTGAGGTCTCTGATGAAGCAGAGCGGGCACGTTTGTGGCAGGCGAGTGCGGAAGCTTATCCCCCCTATGATGATTACCAGGCAAAGACCACGCGTAAAATTCCTGTGTTCCTGGCAGAACCCATCGACTGAAGAAATTCTGCAGCACATCGCGGACTTGGAATCATTAGTCCAGGCGGATAGCGTTCCGCCTGGGACACTACCTGGATTTTATTCCGCGGCTTTCTCGCCTTGTTTAAAAGTGGTGTAGAGATAGACAGGAATGTCTAAATCACCCAGGTGCCGCTCGATCAAAGGCAGTACATCACCAGCCCAATCAAGACCGCCGACACCCGTGGCAAGTTTCGGCAGTGCAATGCTTGTAAACTTTTCCTGCTCAACCAGTTTCCGCAGTGCGCGTAATGCCGAGTTGACGTGCGCGGTGGTCGCTTTACCCGGATGACCCTGCTTGCCGGCGGCGGGTTCCTGGGTTAACAGGTTGACGATACGTTTGCCATCTACGCCACCCCATGTCCAAAGTTCCCCCGGACCGGGATTCGATATTTTGCAATAGTGGCGAAAGTCTTTGCTCATCGAGGGATAGAGCTCGCGCAGACTTAACGCCAGACCCTGGTTGAAATGATCCTCCGGCGCAACACCTTGGACAATGGTTTGGGCGCTGCTCAATGTGATGTCACCAGAAACTTCTTTTAGCATGGTCACTCCTTATTGGTAATTCGGATATCGTCTCGGTTTACCGCGCGGGTGGCTATCGGTAATTCCCGAGGGCCTTATGCATACCTATTTACGGCGGCACCTGGGCTAAAATTGGGCAGTCGGTATTCAACCTGAAAAGACAGGGAAATTTTTATGATTGTGGTGAACGGCATTATCAGGACCAGCGCAGAAGCTATTGCAGCCACGGCTGCGGCGCTGAGCAAAATGGAGCAGGCCAGTCAGGCTGAAGAGGGGTGTTTCGACTATACCTTCAGCATTGAGGTCAGCGATCCGAACGTCATTCGGCTTACTGAGCGCTGGGCGTCAATGGAAGACCTGAAAAAGCACTTTGCAGAGCCGCATATGGCTGAGTTTCGAGCGGCGATGGCGGCCCATCCGCCATCAAGTGTCGAAGTGAAATTCTATGCAGCGCAAGAGATCGACCGACCCGTCTGACAATGGAGCCCAAATGTCCGGTGCTGGTGATAGCGCTATGCAGATTCTGTATAGCGTTTGATGATCTGTTTACCCAGCGCCATCATGTGCACCTGATCCGGTCCGTCTGCCTGGCGGCACCAGCGCGCATAGTTGTAAGCTTCGGCCATGGGGTAGTCGGCGGTTAAACCGCCAGCGCCATGAATCTGCATACACCGATCAATGACGGTTTGTGCCATCAGCGGGACGGTTATCTTCGACGCAGCAATCAGATCCCTGGCATCTTTGGCTCCAACTTCGTCCATTCGGCGAGCTGTTTTTATTGTCAGTAAACGGGCTTGCTCAATTTCACTGAACGACTTTGCGATGTCCTCCAGCACAGACTGATGCTCAGACAGTTTTCGGCCAAAGGTTTCACGGCTCACCGCACGCCGGCAGGCATATTCAACCGCCCGCTGAGCGCTGCCGATCAAGCGCATGCAGTGATGTATTCGGCCGGGACCTAAGCGCCCCTGGGCGATTTCAAAACCCCGTCCCTCACCAAGCAGAATATTATCGGCAGGGACGCGCACATCGTCGAAGTGCACTTCAGCATGCCCCAACGGGGCATCATCGTAACCCAACGTTGTCAGGGGTCTGACAAT